GCGCCGTCCTCGCCTGCGCCCCCCCCCCCCCCCCCCCCCCCCCCCCCGCCGCGGCCAGTCCCCCACCAATGCTTCCGCGAGTTCGAGACCTACCTCAGTGCCTATTTGCAGGCCAGCCGGCCGTCCACATCGCAACAGTCCAATGCCCGGCACCGGCTTACCCTCCTGTCGACGGTCCAATTCCAGGAGCTGGCCGAGGACCTGCTGAATGAGCTTCGCCTGCGCCGGGCCAGCCGCGACCCGAATGAGCGCCCCCCGCCCCCGGATGACACCCAGGGCTTCCAGCACAAGCGCATCGACGCCCGCATGAAGCTGAGCACCCTGCCGGAGCACCGGTTCCGCGACCTGGTGTGCGACATTTACTTCGAGCTGATCCGCCGCTTCCCCGACTCCAAGGCCATGTCCCCGTCGCCGACCGGTGCGCATGGCCTGCTCAGCCCGCGCGGGGCTCCCCCCCCTCCCCCCCCGCCTCTGCCCGCATGTCCCACATCCTAACATAGGCACTTGCACCTGCATCCGCATCCGCACACGCACCAGCCTCCACGCCTCTGCCGGCCGATGACGCTTCCTCCTCCATGAAGGAGCTGGACATCATGTTCACCAACATGAATGTCGCCACCACGGCCCCCATGGGGGCCCTCAGCCCGACGCTCAATGGGGTCCCCACGCCGCCGGTGGTGGCCGCGTCGCCGGCCACCGCCGGGCTGCCCCCCTCGCCGCGGTCCATCGCCCCGCCACCTGGGGCCAGCCCCAGCAGCGGCATGGCCGGTGCCCCGAATGCCGGCGGCCCCGCCTTCGACATGCTGCCCCCGCGAGTGACCGCACACTCCGGGCACTTCCCCTCGCCCGGGGGCCCGGCCTCGGGCCAGGCGCCTACGCCCCTGCCGGCGGCGCCCCCGGCCGACGACCCCTTCCCCGAGCCGACCCCCGGCCGGGCCACGCGCGATGAGCTCCCGGAGACGCTCATTTTCACGGCCGACAGCGAGTCTGACCATGCCTCGCAGGCAGCGCCCGCCGGCACGATGGCCCACGCCTCGCGTCAGCCCAGCGTCTCGTCGCACCCGCGCGCTTCCGCCAACTCCGCCAACTCCTCCTTCTCGGATCTGAGCGCTCTCCAGGTGCGTGCAACTTCCTCGCCTGTCTCCCTGCCCGGGCATCATGCCTCGTCGATCATTGACACGCCTCGACTCTTGCTGTTTTCTCCTCCCTCTCCCTCCTTCCTCCTCCTTTTTCCTTCTTCCTTCCTCCTCCTTCCTCCTCCTTCCTCCTCCTTCCTCCTCCTTCCTCCTCCTTCCTTTCTCTCCCTCCGCCCTTCCACTCCCACCCCCCCCACTCCCACCCCCCCCATCACCGGGCCACACAGTCCTTCCTGGACGCCTAC